CTGTTCGTGAGTTCTTCAGTTTTCTTTATCCAACATTTATTTTTAGATGCTGTACTGCATGGTGCTGTGCCGCAAAGTATAAAGTATCTCAATTGTCTTGGATAGTTGACGTGATGCTAGGGTCTCCAATTTCGGCATTCAGTGCTTCCTGTGGCAATGTCTTGGCTTAGCTTGTGATCAATACGAGGCATTTATTAGTTGTTTTGGGAAATCTCCAGTTGATTGACATGGGTGTCAGATAGCCATGGTTTCCAACTGCTACCAGCAAAGTTGGGCCATTGAAGTTTAGTTTCCACCTCCTGTTCCTGTCCACAACTGTACCCATCTCGCCACACGCAAAGCGCTCCTGATCCTAAAGCTTTCGTGACATAGGGCTTTCGTGACGAAGCAAGAATTGATATGTTATCGGTGTTTATTAAGATGGTCAGACTGTCTGCGAACAGCGTTGTCAGTTCGTCTTTGAAGCGAGTATAAATCTTTGAGGGAGGCCTTGGCTCACCTTCTTGCTCTTACGGAGGCTCTCACTGAAGCAGACCTTTGACTGGCAAATGACTAAGCCACTGGATGTACCTGTCGGAAACGCCTTTGTCGAGGTGGATACGAAGTAGGTGCTCACGCCAAACAGTGTCGTATGCCTTCGAGAAGTCGAGAATGAATGAAAAGAGCAAGCACAGATTTATGCTTAGTTTCCTTTTGGAAACTGTAGTATATTTTATGCGTGACTATTAAGATATTGAAATTCTACATTGTCCTCACCAAAACTATCCATATCGTTCGGCCAAATCATATATTTGCTCGGTCATCATCTTCTCCATCGTTCTGACGACGCAGAAAGTGGGGCTTATGTGTCTGTACGACGAAAGGTCGGTTACTGGTTTACTGGATTTGAGAAAGTCGACTACGATGCCGTCCTTCTACATTTATAGTTCCTCTACTGAGCAGAAGATCATAATGAGGAGAAAAGCGAGCTTCTCTATGGCTTTCGGACCCTGTTGATGCTTCAGAAATATTTCGGAGGCTCGAG